AGGTTAAAGGTTAAAAAAGTAGGACAAAAGTTAAGGAAAGATATGGCAAACGAAGACGGCTGAAGGTCCAAGAGGTGTAATGATGTACAGAAGATTGCAGCAGGTTTCATGAGGGGACTTTTGGAAGTACCCTTATACACAGGAGAGCATGTAAGGACACAGCTGAGTAGAGTTGAAACCAGAAAGTAGGTTTTCTTGGAGCTTTCTAGAAGGACGCAACAAACAAACAGCCCATAGCGAAGGGTGTGGACATGGGACTTTCTGAGACTTTCTAAGAGAAGAAGAAGAAGCAGTCAGAGTCAGAGTGCAGCTGAGGAGAAAGCAGTTCAGTAGAATCGAGAATAAAGTGGACTTTGAGTCGAGGTGATGGAGCTGCTGGAGGCGTTTTACCGCCGCAAGCTGCGGAAGAAGCAGAAGAAATCAGAGCTGGGACGGTCGGATGGGGCGCTGTGTCGAGCGCCGTCAGAGGCCAGCGTCAACGGCCTGGCGACCGGCCTCATCAACAAAGTCCTCAGGTTCACCTCCAGGTAAAACAGGTCACATGTTTAGTTTATTAGTCGGAAACACGGGAGATGTTAACAGGTATGCCGAGAAATCAGTAGAAGTGGATCCAAATATTTGACTATTCGGATATTCATTCATGGCGTAGGTAATCAGTTTCCGATTCTGGGATTTGGATGTCCTTAAAGATTTCTTTCTTGCTATATGACAGGACAGATTATTAGCTAGAAAAGGGGAAGAGATTTTTTTCTAATGAAATGATAAATTAACTAGAGCACTCGGAGAGCGCAGACCTCCGCCAAGCAGCTCGGATTTCCCGCCATTTTATTATTTTATCCACTTTGCTTCAACCGATCACCACCAAAATTTTATCATCTGTTCCTTGTCCCATTATCAGTCCTTCCTGAAAATTTCATCAAAATCCGTTCAGAACTTTTCGAGTTATTTTGCAGACAAACAGACCAATGCTGGTGAAAACATAACCACCACATATGGATTTTCTTTTTTTTTTTGTACTATTTCTAATAGGGGATGCACGATATATATCAGACCGATAAATTATCGGCTGGTAATGGGACATTTTTATTATTATGCATTATTCAGATAATTGAAAGCAGATAAATAGAGCCGATCATACGAAGCCAAACTGCTCTCATTGACTTAACAAGGGCAGCTTCTATACACCGACACAGTGGGTGGCGCTACATGTAGATTTAAACTTGGATTGAAAACCACCAATAAACCCAGAGAAGAAGAACAACAATAAGTGCAGCATACTGTCTAGAGGGCAAAACATGTTGCGATGTGGATGTCTTTCACAGCTCCAGAGGAAGAAAACAGAATTGCACCGAGGGTCTGATCTCGAACCGCCCGACACCAGTTAGACACAACGCTGAGGGACCGTCTCCAGAGTGTTAGCACAAGCTAATTAGCAGCAGCGGCTAACATCCAACACCGAGCTTTTTAAAGTGATTATTTGTATCGTTACCTCTCTGGCTGCGTGTGTGTGTGTGTGTGTGTGAGACACAGCCTTGTGTTTGAGTGTTAATGTGTGAGGTGAATTAGTAGCATATCGCTGTTCAACTTGTTAGTCGTAGGCTAGTCTATCACAGGACCGTGAGACGGCGCCTGGGTGTGTACACAGCCCTGCTCTCTCTGTTTATCATGAGAGCTCCACTCTGCACAGTTAGTGTCTCACATGGTGACGTAGCTAACCGTTTTTCTGAAAGCACGCCAAGCTGCGGTGAATTGCAGCTTGCCACAGTAATTAACCATGTTCATGTGTTTTAGGCGGGAAGAATTTCTTTGCAACATAGGTCAACATGTCACAGGTCTCTGACCACAATTCAATGCTAGAAATTAAACTATCCCCAACTTTAAGTTTGACCGCACTTCACTGCAGAATCTAACAGCTTCAGCTCGAAGCAGCCACTGTAGGTTTCCGTAGTCATTGCATGGCAGCTCGCCACAGGCCACCCCTCACTGCTGCTTGGTGCGCTTTTGGCGTTAGCATCACACAGCTAGCATTACCTAGCAGTTATTAAGAACAGAGTCGAGCTGTTGCTGTGTCAGCTTGAGTTTGTTGGAACGTGAGAAAGAATAGTATCAGTAACATTGTTAACACTGTGCTACATTACAGAGAAATACAAAACCGTAGTAATGAACCTTCATTAATATAGGCCTATATTTTATCTACAAGTGCACGTCACACACTGAGCAAACCGCCTGTTAAAGACGCTGTGGGCTAATGGGCATGTAGCTACTTCCATGTTTCAGATGATACGTCATGTTTGTAGTCGACCAATGAAGATGAGTTTACATATCACCTTGGGTTCGTCCTTCACCTTCTCAAAATGATCCCACACTTTGGATTTCCTGCCTGACATGTTATTAACTAGCCTGTGGAATAACCGCAGGTACCAGCCCTGGAAATTAACCTGACGAGGACACTTCCTGTGTCTGTCCTTTCAAATTAAAGTCACACAAGGTCCAGTCATATAGATTTGGATTTATTCTGACAAGGCGCAGCTCCTAAAACTATGATTGCTGATCAAACTGAATCTGATAGTCTCACTTTAGTCCCAGTTTTTTCATCAGGTCTCGACTCTTATTTGGAAGATTCAGTTTGTACTTGATCCTCTAGTTGTTTTTAACAAATTTTAAAACAGAAAGCCAAACTGCAAAAAACAAAAAGACCAAAATCTTCACTTGACGAATCACTAAGAATCAAAAATAATAAGTGTTTTCTGGTGAGATCTGAATGTTCAAGACTGTAAATGAGTTTGTCAAATGTAAAACTGTGACATGGAAGTGACATTTGGGACCTGGACGTAACCGTGGTGACGTGACCAAGACGAAAATATGTTTTTATGTGGATTATTGTGGTCCAAAATTAGACTTTAAACTCAAACCAAATCAGACAACACTGTTCCCCAGCCAGTCCCGTGAGAGCTAATGGAGAGGGTGAATATCTGTACACGTGTACCAGCGATGATAACATGTTGAGGTATTCCAGTCGCGTCCTGTCATTAACCAGGTTCCTGGGGTTCACAGACATGCAGGCTTTCATGTCTCTGTCTCCCACTTACTCAGATACCATCTTTTCCTGTTTATCTGTGCGGATAAATACAGAGCAGCAGAACATGTCACACATGACGAGGGTGAGGGGATTGTAACCGCCGTGCTTTTCAACGTCTCTCTTATCATAGCTGGTTAGATAACACGATCACAAGTAATGACGGTGATGTCATAAAGATTATCACCACAAACAAATGCACGTTTTATCCCTGAAATAATGTCTCAGTGAGGAAGTTGTTTTTGTGTGTGAGACGTCAGATGAACAAAACACAAGAAATCAGTCAGTACCAGTCGTGTCGTCCTCACTCTGCTGCTCTCACTTTCACAACCTGCCTCCACCCCAGCTCCTCCTTTTCATGCTGTGTCTGACTTATCAATGTCATTTCTGTTTGTCATTGATGCTGCTCTGTTTTGTTCCCGGGGGTCTTTGCTGCTGCTTTCCCTGCCTCAGGCTTTCCATGTAGGCGCATGGAAGGGCAGAGAGGTGTGCTCTCTCCATCTTAGGCCCCGTTGATACAACAACGATTTCAACTGAAAACGGTAAACTTTAGTTGTGTTTTGGCCGATCGTTTACACGACAGCGGCATTTTGGGTGCCTGAAAACGCAACTTTCTGAAAACGGGTTCCAAAGTGCAACTTTTTGGAAACAGCAGCATCTCCGTTGTCATGTAAACTTGCAATATGCAGTTCCTCTGAAAACGGAGACTTTTCGCACATGCACTTTACGGTTCCAGTCACTAGGCATGCTGACCGTCACAACAACAATGCCGAGCTCTGTTTGTGCTGCTCAGCCTGTTGATTTGAAGTGAAGTGTAGATCTGTTACTGTAGCAACTCCACCTCGTCGTCCATCCAGACAAATTTATCTGTGCATGCTTTCGCCATTGTGTCTTCTTTGTTTTGTTTGTAATCGCCGCATTGTAGGGTTAGGGATTAGGGGTAAGGGTTAGCAGGTCACCAGACTATCACAGGGCTGACACACAGAGAAAGATAACCAAACCTATGGGCAGTTTAGAGTCACCAATTATGTCTTTGGCCTCTGGAGCACCTGGAGAAAACCCACGCTGACACGGGGAGAACATGCAAACTCCACACAGAAGGGCTCCCCCACCCTGGGTTTGAACCAGGAACACTATTGCTGTGAGGCAACAGTGCTAACCACTGCACACTGTGCCGCCCAATGAAAACTGAAGTGTAAAGATAATAACTTGTTATTTAAGGCATTTCTGTGGCTGATCATGTTTTGACCAGGACCAGTAACTTTGTGGAGTCTTAACTGTTTGCCCGGCAACTGGATTGTTGTAATCTTTGGTCAGAGACGAGCTGACTGCTTTCCCCTGATTCCAGTCTTTATGCTAAGCTAAGCTAATTGTCTACAGGTTCAGCTACATATGTATTAGAGTGATATCAATCCATTCATCTAACAAGGCAAGAAAGCATACAGGCGTATTTCCCAAAATTCAAACCTCAAAAACCTTTTGTTTTCCTTCCTTTATTTTATTTTCCTCAAGTGTCATGAGATGATGGTGCAACAGAAACAACACAAGGCTGGTGGACCATGCGTGTTGACTTTTTCTTCCTCAGCAGATTATTATAAATAACTTTTCCTTGAATCTGATGTCAGAATGTGGCGCTAGATGCAAGTTTATTTATACAGAACAATTCCGCAACAAGGCAATTCAGTGTTTTGCATAAAACGTCAAATACAGTGAGACAAAGTGCAAAGAAACACGTTATAAGAGGACATTTAAAAACACTATTAAAGAGCTGGAGAACAGAAAATAAAAACAAGTTAACATTAAAGTGCAGTGTAAGAAATGAGTATTTGATTTGATTAAAAGCATGAATTCACGACACAAGGTGAGAAACATGAGTGAATTACTGCACGTCCACTAACTCTGTCTTTGTATCTCAACCCCTCAGACGCAGTGAGCCGGCGTCCCGTCCTCACTCGTGGCATTCGTCGAAGCTCGGTGAAGGTCAGCAGCCGTCGGATCAGGGAGGGATGGACACGATGAGCAGCGCCTGGCACCACGGCTACAACGCCAGGTCAGTGTTCAACAACAGCTCTAGTAAATATGATGTCATTCGTCCACCAGTCGAGTACATTAATCACTGGAGTCATTCAACACCTGACTTGTTCCGTGTAGAGTCTGTGGATACCTGTAGTTGGAGATAAGAAGACAATAACACTGTAGTCACACGTGAGATAAGAAACACAAGATAAGACACACAATGATCTTTTATTATACTGCTCAGGATACTGGTAACATGTCTTCGTGGCCTTTAGAAGTGTCTGAAGAGACGTTTTGAGTCTTGGAGTTTGGGTTTACTGTGCGCCGCTATCTGTCAGGAAGTCAAAGTTCATGTTTTCAGAGAGACATTAAACATCTCCTATCTTATCTCTGAATACCAGACACCAGTCTTCACTCTTGATATTAAATATTGCGTCAATATTTCAGCTCCCAGCTCAAAAACACATGAATTAAATCTGCTGTTGTAACTTTTTTGACTCTTAGTTACAGTTTCCATGATGATCAATGTGTTTCTAATGCCCCACTACACAAGGAAATTATCTCTGGAGTAATAATGACATGTTATTTACAGCCTCACAGTTTTCCCGAGGGATTAATGGACAGTTATAGTTTGACATAATAACATAATGACACCACACAAACACAGACTTTATCAGTGTCTAAGTCTTTCATGGTTACTGCTGCACAAACACTTTGTGTAACACTCTAACAACATCAAGTGTGTTATTAGTCCAGGAATAAGGGGACAGACGTCCAGGGACGGATCAATATGAGGAGCTGCTGTCTGTCATATAACGTGACCTTTGACTGTCTGTCTGTGTGGTGTGTTCTAATTCTTCAGTTTGTACCAACACTGACCTCAGACTTTAAATATTTCACACACCATCCTCCAGTATGGAGTTGAATGGATTGGAAATTACTCATTGAAATATAATAGTTGATTCAATATAAAGATTATTGATACCTGAAAAACAAATCTGCAGTCTTTGTTGCCCTGTTAGAAACTTAATCTGTAACCAAGGCTGTAATTATCCCGAGTCAGTAATTAGAGAAGTGAGGACTGTTTTAGAAACATTTTTTAAAATCAGGACATTTTGGTGAGAAGCTTTCAAGACATTTTAGGAAATAAAAACAGTTTTGGAGAGTGAAGACGTTTTTAGAAAGTGAGGAATATTTTTTTCAAAATAAGGACTTTTTTTTGGAAAGTGATGACATCTTTATGAGGGACATTTTTGGAAAATTAGGACATTTTGGGAAAGTGATGAAACTTTTAGAAAATTAGGAGCATTTTTGGAAATCAAGACATTTTGGAAAGTAAAGACATTTTTTTAGAAAGTGAGGGATATATTTTGAAAATAAGACATTTTTGGAAAGTGAAACACATTTCTTGAAAATAGACAGTTCGAAAGTGGAGACACTTAAAAAGTGAGGGACATTTTTTGAAATAAGGACAATTTCTGGAGAGTGAAGACATTTTCAGAAAATGAGAAACATTTTCTGAAAATAAAGACATTTTCAAAAGTCACGATTTTTTAGAAAGTAAAGAGATTTTTAGAAAATGGAGGACATTTTATTTCATTAGAAAATTGGGGACATATTTTGAAAATAAGGACATTTCTGAAAAGTGAAGACATTTTTTAAAAATGAGTGACATATTTTTAAAAATTAGGACATTTAGAAAATGCGAGTAACTTCTGAGAAAACTAAGATATTTGGGGGAAACTAGAACATTTTCAGAAACTGAGGTCATTTTTAGAAAATTGAGGCATTTTGGAAAGTGGGAACATCTTGAAAAAATTAGATCATTTTAGACAGTGAGAAACTTTTTGGAAAGTGGAGAACATATTAATTTATTTTTTTTGATATGAACATATCTGGAAAGCGAAACCATTTTTAGAAAGTGGAGAACTTTTGGGAAGATTAAGATGCTTGGGAAAATTTAAATGTTTTTGAAAGCTGAGGATATTTTTTTTCTAGAAAAATAAGGCATTTTGGAAAGTGGGAACGTCTTGGAAAATTTAGATCATTATAGACAGTGAGAAACATTTTGGAAAATTAGGACATTTTGGAAAGTGGGGAACATTTAAACATTTTTTTTAATATGAACATATCTGGAAAGTGAAGACATTTTTGAGTGAGGGACTTTTGGGATGATTAAGATGCTTGAGGAAAATTAAAACAGTTTTGAAAGCTTAGGACATTTTTTTCTAGAAAATTAAGGCATTTTGGAAAGTGGGAACATCTTGGGAAATTCATGTAATTTTACAGTGAAGAACTTTTTGGAAAATGAGGAGATTTTTTTGGGAAATGAGAAACTTTTAGGTGATGACATTTTAGAAAGCAAGGACCTTTTTGGGAGGATCCTTCATAGGGCCGTTTACTTGGTTTAAAAATTAAGATTAGAACAAGGTCAGGTTATGGTTATGGATAGGTGTTTGGTATGTCAGTAAGGGCTCTCACAGGTAGGTTGGATGTGTTTCTGTTAACATCATGGAGAGTTTTGTCCATGCTGTCTTGTAGTGTCCAGTGTTTAAGGATTCAGACCTGTTGTCTCAGACCAGTCGGAGCTCCTGCTGGATGATTATGTATAAAAATATGTTGTGTTTTCAGCTAAAGTATCCGCAGTGATATATTTAGTCATCCCAGCTGCACAAACTGGTAAATACATAATTGTTTTGGTGCTTGAAGCGAAGCTGTTGGTCAGCAGGTTTGTGTCATCAGAGGAAGTTACATCACGGTTTCTTTGAAGGGAATAAAGGCCTCTGACGTGACTCTGTGTGTGTGTGTGTGTGTGTGTGTGTGTGTGTGTGTGTTGGGTGGACAGGGCATTGACGTCGATGCCTACAGAATGGGGCATTCCTGGTACCCTTCCCCCTCACCTCTGGGTCTCCCATAGCAACCCCCGACTGTTGTCTGTTAGTAAAGTGTGGATGAGAATAAAAAGGTTGCCCTAACATTTCTGTAGCTCAGCTTTGATATAACCGGAGTTAAGAAACACAAAGTCAGAGAGAGACGGACCGTACAGCCGACAGAAAGAGACGCTGAGACAAAAGTTAGACTCAGAGAAGTTAGTGACGCAGAAAAGGAGAAATGCAGACGGAGACAGACAGAGAGTGTCCCCCTTTTCCAGAGCAGTAATTGCATTGTGTTCGGTTGAAGGACTTGGTGGGTCAAACTGTGACGTAGACACACACATGCACACACACATTTACATTCCAGTCAGTTATCTGGAGTGATGTAACCGCAGATTCAGCAGCAAATCACCAACCTTACAACCAGCAGTTAGAACAAATAAAACCCTCTCAGACATGCACCTGGTTACGTAACACTCTGGCAATTTAACATGTCGCTCTCATGTCTGAGTCACTTTATGTAAAACTCACAACAGCTATCTGACGAGGTCGAACATGTACTGTTTCTGCGTCACCTAATCGTCTTCTCTTGTGCACAAATAAAGTAAAACCAGCTTAATAAACCAGGCAAACAATGTAAATAGGGTTTAAGTTGTTGAGATTCTCCTCATGCGAGATCGGAACACAGGGATTAAATAAGAATCCCAATTTAATGTCTCATCATCCAACCCAGTCGGCAGTATAAATGTTGGCATTGTACATTTCTGCATGGATACGTCACATTTGTACGTTATTATGGAGTGGATATGTTGAAACTTTACATTTCTTTACTTTTAGCTTTTGTTGGCACAATTGAGGCTGGAAATGCTGCAGATGACACGATAAAACCCTGTTTTGGTGGTACAATCGTTACTGGAGATACCTCTGATGTTTAGCAAAAAAACAACCGCGTTTGGTGGCACAGTCGTCGCTGAAAATGCCACCAATGTCTTGCAAAAAAAGAACCAGCTTTTGTTGGCACAATTGCAGCTGGAAATGCTGCAGATGTCACAATAAAAACCTGTTTTTGGTGGTACAATCCCGTTTGGAAATGCCTCCGATGTTCAGTAAAAAACAGCCGCTTTTGGTGGCAGTTTCACAGCCAATGTCTTGCTAAAGAAGAACCCATTCTTAGTGGCACAATTGAGGCTGGAAATGCTGCAGATGTCACGATAAAGCCCTGTTTTGGTGGTACAATCATGTCTGGAAATACCTCCAATATCTTGCTAAAAAAAGAACCCACTTTTGTTGGCACAGTTGCAGCTGAAAATGCTGCAGACATACAGTTGCATATGGAAATGCCTCCAATGTTTAGCAAAAAAAAACAACCGCTTTCGGTGGCACAATCCAGGCTGAAATGTCGCCAATGTCTGGTTAAAAAAGAACCAACTTTCAGTGGCATAATCGCATCTGGAAATGCCTCTGATGTTTTGTGTAAAAAACACCTGCTTTTGTGGCACATTAGCTGCTGGGAACACTGCATATGTTTGCAAAAAAAAACATTTTTGGTGGCATAAATGTGTCTGGAAATGCCTCTGATGTTTTGCAAAAAACAACCGAGTTTGGTGGTACAGTTCCACTGAAAATGCCGCCAATGTCTTGCTAAAAAAGACCCCACTTTTGTTGGCTGTTTGTTTGTTGATGCTTTACTAAGAAGTAACTGGTTTTGTCATTTTTTTGTCTGGAACAGTGTGTTTGAGGGTTTTGAGTTTTTTTTTTTAATCTGTGTCTCTGTCTCTCAGTGCCTCAACCACCGACCTGTCAGGTGGGTTTGACTCTGGCGGCAGCTACCTGAGGAAGAGTCCGGACCAGTACAGCTCCAGGGGCAGCATGGAGAGCCTTGACCCTCCGCAGTCCTCCCAGCTTCACTCTGGAGCTCAGCACCACCACCCACTGGGCCACCACACCCACAGCGGACCCCACCCTGCCTACTCCTCCTGCCACCAGCTGTCCTCTGCCAGGTTCATGAAGACAGTTTCAGAAATTGTTGTTCCAATTTGTCACTTAGACACAAAAACCTTTGGGAAATAGGGTCTCAGTTGAAAGTACAGAACTTATACAGCTGTAAATTTTTAAATATCATGATCTCAACTAAAATCTCTTGTCATATTCTAGGTCCTCCAACAGCATCGACCATCTCCACAGCAAACGAGACTCCGCCTACTCCTCCTTCTCCACCAGCTCCAGTATCCCAGAGTACCTTGCCTCCACGCCTTCCTTCAGCCCAGAGCGCTCCTATTCGCTGGAAACCGTCCCTCAGAGAGAAGGAGGAAGTGTCGATATGCAGCAGGCTGACATGTGTTACGTCCGGACGGTTTATGACGCCCAGCAGGGCCTATCGCAAGAGCATGAGCTGAGCTCCACCTCTGCTGCGATGCTTCGCAACAGCGATTCCAGAGGCGGGGGAGGGATGAGGCCGGGGCAGAGCCGAGATATGCAAGGTGACATCTCTGCTTCAGGAATGGTTTTCAGGTAATGTAACTTAGATGTGATGACATCATTGTTTTTCTTTACACTATTGGTTCCAGGTTCGGTGGGAGGGGTCTGTTACCGTGGCAGCAGCAGTGGCAGCAGCAGCAGTAGCGGCAGCAGCAGCGGTGGTGCACCAGCATCAAACAGACACAGTGTAGGACCAATATGGGGCCCGGCGGCCAGCCGCAGCTCCTACGAGAGCCTAAAGGGGGCGCCGGCCCCGCCGAGGCGCAGCGACAGCTACGCAGCCATCAGGAACCACGAGAGACCGAACTCCTGGTCCAGTCTGGAGCACGCCCGGTCACTACGGTGAGTTGGGTCCATCAAATCAGAGTGAATTGCAATTCTCAAACAAAAATAAGCTCTGACGAAATTAGTGGAAACAAAGCTTTTATTGAGGTCTGTGTCACCACAATGTGTACTTACATGTCTGGGGAGGTGCAGGTCAGGCTACGGCGTAGGTTATGACATAGATACGATGCAGAAGTATAAATCCCACTTTATACTACAATGTGGTAACAATTAGGGCTGGGTATTGGTACCTTTAAGGTATCGACCAAAATATCCCAGTATCAAGTAGTATCAACTACTCAAACTGCGCCAAATCAGCAAACTTTCTGTTGCTGCTGTCTCGAGAGCCACTCCCCTCCCGGCGAGTCTGCACTGTTAGCGCAAGCTAACACAGCAGCAGTTTAACAGTCCCAAAAAACCAACACCGACACTGAAATGGCCCAACTCAGCTGTTCAACCCATTAATAACTGTTGGGTAACGTTAGCTGTGTGTTGCTAACAGTTAGCCCTGTCACTGTATTTTTGTGTGGGCGGACATGCACAGCTGTCCCCAGCTAGGAGCTCTAATCTAATCCAGTGTTATTTAATCTCATGTGTTTAATTCAGGTCTCTGCAGAAAGGTTCCTGGCATCACTCCAGTGGCTCTGTGGCTTCAGGTGCAGGTATGTTTGAATTCTATCTCCATGATTTTACTCATTTTGAGGATCCAAAGAGACCACTTTAATTCTGCTCTACAAAATTAAAAGTGTTCCTAAAACACCCAAAATATATAGATGACATTACAGCAAGCCTTAAAGGTATAGAAAAGAGTGTGTAAATGTATATGCATTAGCAGTTGTGAAGACAGCTCTGCTATCATCAACCTCTGCTCTATTCTTACAATCATTCTTGATGTCCCAGCTAAGGGCTCGTACAGCGCCGAAGGTCAGCTCCACACAGTGATAGAGAAGAGTCCAGAGAGCAGCCCCACCACAAAGCCCCGGCAGGGTGGAGGCTTCCCCCAGCCCCCTTCTCCTACCGGGCACTCTTCCGGACCTGCAGGCCCCGTCCCCCAGTCTGGCCGGCTCATTCTACCCACGGGCACATACCCTGTCCCACAGCTTGAGCCCCACTATGCACAGATTCCCAGTGCCGGCCCCGGTCCAGCCTCCTCTGGAGTGTACCCCACCCTGGCTAAGGAGAGCAGCCGACAGCAGCAGCAGGGCGTCGGAGGGAGAGAGGAAGGAGCAACGGAGAGGCGGAGGGATGGAAGGATGTCAGCGACAGAAAACGGATACCAAAACAACACTTCTTCACTATACCCCTATTCTTCTTCGTCATCGTCTGCCTCCACACAGCTCAAGACTCAAGCATACGAGGCTGACAGGTGAATTAAAACAGAAATATGATAAGCTGTGTTTTGAGTGTCATCACTCTCTACCAGTGGTTTTTGCTGCAGTTCCCAAGAGTCATACTTTTGACAACATATTGCTTAATGCACAACTTCATGCTAGTCTATTTGTTGAAATGTTGCAGGGTGTCTCCCAGAAGTCAGCTGTCCTACACTAGAGTTTGATTGGGTCCAAAAGATCATGCGCAAACCATGTGTGAGCTCACATAGTTTCTGTCCAAGCCCGACCCAAGCCCAAAACATTTTTATTACAAATTTAAGTCATCAAAGGTTTTTTCAGTGCAGTTACAGACATTTGTAATGCAGGGTGCATTCATACTGGGTAGACTGGGTCATCCACTAGTATCTTCGGGCAAGAACCCCAAATGCATGCTGAATGCTCAGTTTGAAACTGAGTAGCAGGTGGCACCTTGTATGGTAGCCTCGGCCAACAGTGTATGAATGTGTGTGAATGGGTGAATATTACATGTCGTGAAAAGGCACTTTGAGAGGTCGCAATACTTGAAAGATGCTCTACAAGTGCATGTCTATTTTATCATTTACCAGTCAATAGTGACTCCGAGTGCCAGCTTGTACTCTGGCACAAACTGAACTGTAAATTTGGGGTGCTTTTGGAATATACCCATTCGGTTTAGAGCACCACACTCTCGGAGCAACAGAGTGCCAAGCACGGTGAAATTGAAACTGAACTCTTTGGCCTGAACTCGGCGGGTCAGGCCCAATCTGGTTTGGGCAGAGAATCAAAGCTCTATCTTCTACAGCACAGCTGATATCACATATCTGATTCTGGCATTACTCTCATTGAGTGCAATAAAGCTGTAGAAATTATTCGTATTTGCCCTTAATTCTAACTCAGTCTTGTACTGTAATCAGGCCTCAACAGGAAGAGTCTAACTATGAACTCTACAGACCCAACATGAAAACTGCCAGAGAGGGATCAGAGGACCACACAGGGGCTCAAAGGCCCCCAAACCACCAGGGACCTCATGGTCAGAGCTTCCAAGGGCCCCATATTCATGCAAGCCAGAGAGCCCACAGCCAAGTGTCCCAGGAGCACAACCAGGATTTCCACAGGGCCTCATCTTCACAAGATTGGAGGGACCCCTACATGCCTGTCCCACCCAAGGGAGAAAGGAGGAGGTACAGTACGGAGGGGACTTGACATGGTGAAATCATTTCTGAGGATGACTCCAGAGCATTTAGAGGTTTCTGATTCTGTCTCTGTCTCTCGCGGTTGATTACTGTACATTTCTGTAGGAATAAAATCCCATGGGGAACACCAGAAAAGGAGGGACTTCGCCTCTGTATGCCTTTACCAGAAAAGGCTCAGACTGGTCAAACTTTTGCTATTAGTTGATAGCCAATCAATAGATCATTCAACAACTAGGGAAGATGTTGTTCTACCTGACCCAGCAACCAGAAACATCCACAACAACACAAACTCATATGTTATTTTGCCAGATAACAACTTTCTATCTATAAAAGGAGCTTCCTGACAGTGAGTAGTTGGTTAGTTCATTAAATGGTTGGAGAATGATTCTCCCTCCTTTACTTACTTTTCGCCCTCCTCCCTCCATCCCTTCAGATCAATGGACCAGACCAGCGTTCATTCAGAGCCAGTGACATCCTCCAGGATCCCCCAAGGACAAGTGCCTCCTTCCCACTTACCTGCTCAGCCTCAGGCTCCACCCGCCTCCGCCTCGCAGAATTCACCCCGTCACTTCAGTGACTCAGCAGCTCTGCAGTACCAGCACTGGGACCACAGAGAGCATGACAAAGACCGAGAACATCCACTGACCCGTCTGGAGATCGCCCTTGCCGAGGTCCAACGATGCGCCAGCCCCAGCAGTGTTGCCTCCGCCAGTAGCCATGGTAATGGTAGCCAAGGTGATGGCAGCCAGGGACCTAACCGCAGCCTCTCTGTCCTGGAGAAGGTCAGCCGCTTCGAGCGTCGCACCGCGAAGCAACGCAGTCACAGCACCACCAACGCACAGGACAAAGCCACCCATCTGAGGGTAACTCACATTTTGTTTGGTTGCCATATTTTGATGGTTCAACTGAGAAATGAATGAATGAACTATCAGTTTAAAGCATCAGTCAACATAAAATGGATTTGACTTACCAGACAAGAACTGCATCATCTCAGCCTTACCTCCTAAATTTGAAAATCTGATCCTTGTTGGCTGTGATTCTGCTTCACTGCTTTATGTTTTCCGATTTTGATTCAGATGACAGAGAAAGGCCGCAGCTCCCCCTGTGGAGCAGATGACCTCAGAAACATGCTGGAGAGAAGCACCGGTGGGACCAAAGCCCACAGGACTATGAGCTACAGAGGAGGCAGCACTGAGCACAAGAAATACAGGTAAAGAGTTTGCGGGAAATAGATAAAACTATATATACAGTATAGTTACAATACAGGCCAAAAGTTTGGACACACCTTCTCATTCAATGCGTTTTCTTTATTTTCATGACTATTTACATTGTAGATTCTCACTGAAGGCATCAGAACTATGAATGAACACATGTGGAGTTATGTACTTAACAAAAAAAGGTTTTATATTCTAGTTTCTTCAAAATAGCCACCCTTTGCTCTGATTACTGCTTTGCACACTCTTGGCATTCTCTCCATGAGCTTCAAGAGGTAGTCACCTGAAATGGTTTTCCAACAGTCTTGAAGGAGTTCCCAGAGGTGTTTAGCACTTGTTGGCCCCTTTGCCTTCACTCTGCGGTCCAGCTCACCCCAAACCATCTCGATTGGGTTCAGGTCCGGTGACTGTGGAGGCCAGGTCATCTGCCGCAGCACTCCATCACTCTCCTTCTTGGTCAAATAGCCCTTACACAGCCTGGAGGTGTGTTTGGGGTCATTGTCCTGTTGAAAAATAAATGATCGTCCAACTAAACGCAAACCGGATGGGATGGCATGTCGCTGCAGGATGCTGTGGTAGCCATGCTGGTTCAGTGTGCCTTCAATTTTGAATAAATCCCCAACAGTGTCACCAGCAAAACACCCCCACACCATCACACCTCCTCCTCCATGCTTCACAGTGGGAACCAGGCATGTGGAATCCATCCGTTCACCTTTTCTGCGTCTCACAAAGACACGGCGGTTGGAACCAAAGATCTCAAATTTGGACTCATCAGACCAAAGCACAGATTTCCACTGGTCTAATGTCCATTCCTTGTGTTTCTTGGCCCAAACAAATCTCTTCTGCTTGTTGCCTCTCCTTAGCAGTGGTTTCCTAGCAGCTATTTGACCATGAAGGCCTGATTGGCGCAGTCTCCTCTTAACAGTTGTTCTAGAGATGGGTCTGCTGCTAGAACTCTGTGTGGCATTCATCTGGTCTCTGATCTGAGCTGCTGTTAACTTGCGATTTCTGAGGCTGGTGACTCGGATGAACTTATCCTCAGAAGCAGAGGTGACTCTTGGTCTTCCTTTCCTGGGTCGGTCCTCATGTGTGCCAGTTTCGTTGTAGCGCTTGATGGTTTTTGCGACTCCACTTGGGGACACATTTAAAGTTTTTGCAATTTTCCGGACTGACTGACCTTCATTTCTTAAAGTAATGATGGCCACTCGTTTTTCTTTAGTTAGCTGATTGGTTCTTGCCATAATATGAATTTTAACAGTTGTCCAATAGGGCTGTCGGCTGTGTATTAACCTGACTTCTGCACAACACAACTGATGGTCCCAACCCCATTGATAAAGCAAGAAATTCCACTAATTAACCCTGATAAGGCACACCTGTGAAGTGGAAACCATTTCAGGTGACTACCTCTTGAAGCTCATGGAGAGAATGCCAAGAGTGTGCAAAGCAGTAATCAGAGCAAAGGGTGGCTATTTTGAAGAAACTAGAATATAAAACATGTTTTCAGTTATTTCACCTTTTTTTGTTAAGTACATAACTCCACATGTGTTCATTCATAGTTTTGATGCCTTCAGTGAGAATCTACAATGTAAATAGTCATGAAAATAAAGAAAACGCATTGAATGAGAAGGTGTGTCCAAACTTTTGGCCTGTACTGTATGTGATTCAAATATTATTCCAGCAAATGTCTGTATAATAGCATCTGACTGTATGTATCACAATTCCAGCCTATAACTTCACATTTTGTTTGTATCCACTTTTATTTTGCTCCAAACTGACATGCATCACATATTTGTCCCATATATTGCAACATTTGATTTTGTGTCTGAAGTCCTTTCAGGATAGCTAGAGTTAGGCTGAGTCACATTTACTGGACTTGAAGTCCCTGTCAAAAGGTACTTAAATGTCTGTGTGGTGTTCAGGACCCCAGCAGATCCAAGTTCAGCCCTCCAGAGAAGCCGCAGCAGCTTCCAGCTGGAAGAAACCAGGGAGGGCGACAGCAGCAAAGACTTCCCCCGGACACAGGACATCCAGGAGATAATGGGCACCATGCAGGACAAGTCCTTGAACAGGTCAGTCTTTCAACACGTCCTTCCACGGACTAGAGTTCCTCAGCAGGTAAGAGTCCTCCAAGTTAAAGTTCTTCAGCAGGTCAGGGTTCCTTAGGTCAAAGTCTTTCTGCAAGTCAGCATCCTCAAACAGGTCAGAGTCCTTAGGCAGATCAGAGTTCTTCCACAGGTCTAAGTCCTCTAGTTCAGAGTCTTTCTGAAAATCAGCATCCTCAAACAGATCAGAGTCCCTCCAGGTCAGAGTTCTTCAGTAGATCAGAGTCCCTCCACAGGTCAAAGGCCTCCAGGTCAGAGTCCTTCTGCAAATACGCATCCTCAAACAGGTCAGAGTCCTCAAGGTCAGACCCCTTCCACAGGTCAGACTCCTTAAGAGTCCTCCGGGTTAGAGTCTTTCAGCAGGTCCGAGTCCTTTAGCAGATCAGGTCCTCAAACAGGTCAAAGTCCTCCAAGAAGTCAGAGTCTTTCAACGAGTCAGAATTGGGGCTGGGTAGCAGTATTTTAAGGGGTACACACTGAATTACGTCAGAACTACCAAGCACTGATTCCTGTAAATCCACTGGAGCCGAATTTCGTTACCCGAGAGAGCATCTGGGTGAGACCTCTGGGGTTAGACCAAAGATGGAAGTGCAGCGAAGCATCTGTCCATCAGCCCCTTAGCTAGCTGTTCTGCCAGCTTTCCAGCAAGCCAAGACAATCAATGCAGCACCGATCTGCTGTGATAGTTTCACCATCTGGTCTATGTGCTTTTCTTTATTATTTTAGTAATAGCCTAGGATCACTGCTAGATGAGTTGAAACACATACACATGCATTCTAGTGCACACCCCAGACATTACTCAGGTACTGCTACTGGTACTAGTTGAAATGTGAATGGTACCCAGCCCTAGCCAGAATCTCATGAGTCTCTCTGAGCCATCCTGACAATGAAAATTTGTCTCTAATCAGATCTTACAGGGACACTTTGAAAGACGCCCAATCCAAGGTCCTACGGTCCACCTCCTTCAGACGGAAAGACCTCAGCTCCTCAATCAGCCCTCCGCCTCCTGCAGCTCCTCCTCCCGTTTCCTCCTCCAGCGGCCATCAACCTCCACCTGTCCCTGCAAAGCACCACTCCCTGGAGAAAAAAGGCCCCAAAACCATGCCCAAACCACAGGGCATCATCATCACACCACAGTCGGCAGCACCGGTCACTTCCCTGCACACCCCGAAGGAGCGGCATGTGGTCAGCCCAGAGACACGAGGCCCGAGCCCCCCAGCTCTCCCCAGTGTCCCACCCGTTGGACATCCTGGTCTGTTACGGATCTGCGGCCGCAAGCGCCTGACAGCAGACCAGAAAAAGCGATCATACTCAGAACCAGAGAACTTGAACGAGTGCGGGGTTTCGGATGCAGAGACTGTTGCCCTCTTCAGGCGTGGAGGAGGTAAATACACTTTAGAAAATGCAGATACAAAAACAGCTGTGAACCAAAACTACTTGAGTCATACAGCAGGATTGGCTGACCACGGCTTTGACGCTGATCTCCCCCTCTTTCAGAGACCAGTGTGGCAGACCGGCGGAAGATGTTCGAGCTTGTTGCAAGTCGAGTTGGGGGCGGGGCTATGCAGAATGCCACATCAAGGCCTGAATTGCGGCAGCTTCAGCATGACGCTCTCGCAGAATACGTGGAGAGGAAGAGAGGCGTGCAAAGAGACAAGGGAGGACAGAGGAGTGGACCAAGGCCCCATAGTGCCTATCTACAGCCTGACAACAGCAACTATATAGGTGGGTGGAGGAAGGGAGGTAAAAGGATGAGTGAGGGGTGATGGTTTGATGTGTGGATGAAGGCTCAGTGACAGGTAAAGCAAATATTTAAGTGACTGACTGTGAGTGGAACAAGTAGATTAATCTCCATCTTCTTTGTTCTTCCTTTTTTTGTTCCTCCTCTTCTTTCCTCTCCTCCTGTCACTCAGACACCCTCAGCCTCTCCTCCACCTCCAGCATGCTCTCCCTGCAGGACTCTGCTGCAGATCGAAGCTTCTCCTCTGGAGAGAGGCGTCCCTGCCCCACTCTCCCTCCTGGAGCTGACCTGTGGAGCCACCAGTCCAACCTCATCTACCCGGGCAGGGTGACCACTCCGAGGGCTCCGGTGCACCCATCCATTAGGTAACCAAAACCAGATACCAGCTACATGTAACACTGATTTTTAGCCAGGATAACACAGTTTCTTTCGGGATGGTCAGTCCACCACTTCGGCCCAGACTGAAGCCATGAAATTTACATTCACCTAAACCTAATGACTTTGGTCACCAGCAGTTCGAAGTTTTTCATTTATCCAGTAATGTAACTGAACATTTGTGGTTTGGAGTGAAATGTCATGAGAACTTTAAGATGGATTGCCTTAAAATGTGGGACAGAATTTCATGTTCACCACATGATGCAATGTAGAAATTTAGATTTTAACATGAAGTTGAATTATTACAGTTTAATAACACCTTTCTGGTTTCTTCTCCCAGTGCTCCTTCTGGCTCCCTTCCTGAGCCCCAGGCACAGATCCCCCAGGACGTGCCCCATGAAACAGGGCTCAGCAGACAGAGTCAGTCCTCCAGCAGAGACTGCAGCCTTGACCTCCAGCAACTGGCTGTAGAGCCTCAGCTCAAGCTGGGACTGTCCCAGCAGCTCAACGGGGCTCTGCAGAGGGCCGGGTCAGCTCGGGGCTCCGGAAAGTCAGCCTCTGCCGAGGATCTCCTGGAGAGATCCGAAGAGATTCCAATGACTCCTCAACACTACCGCTCCCGCTCCTCCCCCACAGTGGAGAGGCTGAACCAGGTAACACAGCACAAACACCAAATACTAACTCATTTCTGCACCACTCTATTAGCTAGCTAGCCACCCCATCGTCTCTCCATCTCGCTCCCCGCTGCTATGGACTGCTTCCCCCGTTTGAAAAGAAACGCAGCCTCTTCATTTATTTGAATGAGGGCAGTCTGGCGATGCAGCAGGGGCGTCAGCACAGAGGGCAGGATTGGCCAGTGGACTGCAACTGCACAGTATTCAAAAAGGAGCTGTGGTTTACTTTGTAACCTGAAAGCCGTAGTTCTGCTGTTTGCCCTGTGGCTGTTGCGACAAAAGATAAAATAATTAGAATAATAACTTCCCCTCTTTGCTTCTTACAACGGCCACTGTGGAAGAAAACAAGTCGCGATTCATCTTATCAGCTGTATATACATAGTTTCGCTGTCCACTTTGCTCCAAAATTAATTATACATCATCACCTCTGATGGATTGCCAATTAAACTTAATTCACCCCCTCTTGACATCACCATTTATTTGACGACAGTTTGTCATTAAGGGACGTTTAGCCCTGAGTCACACAGGAAATACCCAGAGGTTTCCTGTGAGGTGCCAGAGAGCCGGAGACGGTGGCTGGGCGCTGTCCGATGTGGATGATAGCAAAGATAACACACACACGTACACACACACACACACACACACACACACGTATACATACATCATACACTCATCTACAGAGTTCTTACAAAAATGCAGTAAAAGGATAAATTTGTCTTTAATCTCCTGCAGTGATCAGAGCAGGCGGTGTCACGTAAACATCATTACACTTCTGTCAGACAAACAGACACTCTGTCCTCTTACTGTTCTTTAAACAATAGATTTCACTGCAGGGTCCTACAGTCCGGCTGTTACACTGTTGATGTTTTTAAGTTAAGCAGCTGACAAAGAATTTGCCTTTGAACGCACCAGCAAGGACACGTTCCTGCATCGAAAGAGCTGTATGGCACGTGAGAGATGTAATACTGTGTCGTCTGTGGTGGAGTGGGACAGTGTGAAATGAAGTGATTTTCTTTTTAATGTAAATGCAGATCGGTGTTCGATCACACAAAAAGTTAATGGTGGAGAGCTGAAGCTGTTCGCAGCTCTAACTTGAAGCAGACTTCAGCCCTGTGTTGTGTGTTTTCATTGCGTGACAAGGTCTGTAGTCATACATGTGATTGTTGATGCCCTAGTTTGTACTTATTTTTCAAAACAGGTCGGAGACCTGTAAACAGACAGTCTCAGTGTTTATAGCCAGTCAAGTCAAGTTCATTATATTTAGTTACAGCAATCCTGTAACTGCCTGCTGGCTGTAGCTGAATAGTTAACACACAAACAGACAGACAGACAGACAGACACACACACACAGAGAGTGGTGTCAGGCTCAGTTATTATTACAGCATGAAATAATTAGCAGTCCACCTTAGTGTCTTATTGTGCTGTAATTTATACCAAATTATTAAGAAATGATTACACCCATAAATAAAGTATTACTTTCATAGACTGTTTAAAATGTGGCCACTGTGACATCACTCACTGGTTCTGGTGGGCTCCCATAACGAAGCCTCGAGTTTTGTTTTTTTGTCCATCGCCATCCTGGTCTTTTTGAGCCAGAAGTGATCATATTTGGACGACAGGGTGGAGCTAACCCTAATGCTAGCTGTTGGTTAGCACAGTGCATTAAGTCATAAAACATGTTAGTGCAACTGAAATCATAATTGAAATTAAAATTGAATTGAAAGTGAAATCGAATTTCTTAAAGTCGGACTAACGCACCCAGAAAATGCAATTGAGAGTCGAATTACTCCTGCAGGTATACAGTCAATCAGACCCAAACTGGCCGAGACGCTCTGAGCATGCTCCACAGTTTCCACCCAGGCTTTGACACAGAAGTCGAGTAATATTAAATGTGTAACAGAAGACAAATCCGGTAACAACATGGAGAAATCTACATCCAGAGTTGTGCATTTTTGGACGGACGAGGAGACTCAGTTCATGTTGTCTCAGCTGAAAGAGTTAAATATTTTGAAATACATGGATGGGAGGGAAGCACGCAATGATGACCCGACAACGGCTGATTGTTTGGTCTGTGACGTAATAGGTCAACCAAAGTAAGGTCCAATACTAACAAGCTGAAAGTGGGCATATCTCCACCTATTGTAGTGGAGTCGCACATACTTGGGTCAATAAATGGATTCCCCTCCCGTGCTTGTATACTGGGACAAGGACAGTAGTCCAATTAAATGGTCTAGTCGCGCTGTAACCATAATGATCCCTCTGCTGGTTCACCTACAGATACCTTTGTACGACTTTTACTGCCTTAGATAGTCAAGTTTGATCATCTTCTTGGCGACTTAGCTATAACCGTAGCTCGACTAAACTGTGCATGGAAACATACTGAGTGATAATGTTAATGCTAATTTTTGCTAGTGAAACACAGGCTTAAAACCCATTGAAACAAATTAACATACTGGGAAAAAAATCTGACTCCTTAGAGCGTTTTTGTACAACCAGATGCCGAACAAGTCTTTTTTTAGGCAACTAAAGCGTTACAATTAACTCTCACGGACTGAAAACAAATTGAAATAGCAACAGCTGTGGCTACGCCTATGCTCTCTGAATCTAGGGTTACACCATGGTTGCGTTGCGTTGCGTTGCGTTGCGTTGCGTTACATTATGTTATTGTCCCTGTAGGGAAATTTGTCTTTGACTGAGGAGCTGCACAAAAGCATTCCTGCCTTACAATAGTCCAGAAGGAATGAAAAAAGGAATGAAAAATACTACACATAACAGTGTTGCACATCAGCCATTCATGTTTTATTATTTAAAATCTTAACTGAGGTTGGCACCTCAGCATCTCTCAAAGCGGCCACGACCTTTATTATCCATAACCTTAAGCCTTACATTTAAACTGGTGAATTATATAAATTAGCTAAAGAGACCAAAACCGTTTTTTGTACCAGGCTTTAAACATGTTTATTTCTGCTGTAAAGTTCGACATTTTAACATGGGGTCTATGGGGATTGACTCATTCTTGGAGCCAGCCTCAAGTGGACATTAGAGGAACTGCAGTTAGCTTAATGTTTCAGTCCCTAGAGGTTGCCGCTGGATTACTATATACTTATACAATCATATCTTAAAGGAGAGGATAAAAAAAGATGATCACATTGTTATCTTTATATCAATAATGTTACAGTTATTGAAGTATTCAGATGTTTGTGATAAAAAGGCAAAACCATGTTTGTCATGTTGAGTCAAATGGTTGTGTTGTGGTGTAGTAGACAAAGATTCTACGTTTAAAAAGCTTACTGTGAATTCTCAGTATTCTGGAACAGACTCATGTCAGACTGAACTTGTAGGATTGTGTCACAACATAATGAAATAACAGAAGGTGGGAGATTCATTATGATACCATATGATACGATACAATATGAAAAACTATATGAAATCTAAATAAAGAGAGGGAATATTCTTCCTAAAAGACTAAACTTTGTGTGTGTTTCAGGACTTCCCTTCAGGCAACGTCAGCATGTTTGACGTCTTCATCTCTGAACCTGGACGCCACTCTCTGGCCGAGGACAGGTATGTCACATCTCCATTCAGGCCATTCTTTGACCAGACAGCTGATCCTAGACCAGGTTTTTCCTTGTGGGTTCTCACGGTCATTCATCTGTCCCTCCCTGTCGTCTCATTTATCATGTTTCTCCATCAGTTTAACTAAAAATTTATGAAAGACGGGCAAACAACCTCTTGATCTTTTCTCACAGATGTTTCTGTCTGATGATTCTTTCATGTTGTTCTGTTTACAAAATGAGACGCAGCTTGAACTAGATTCAGCAAAATGTCAGGATGCTGTTTGTTTCCTGCTGACAAACTGAGGGATCATGAGAATTCACATCATTTCTGTGCCGATATTTTAGCTCTCTTCCATAATAGGCTGTTAGCTGTCAGCCAGCGTGCTTGCGCTTTAGGCTCTTTGCTATTTTAAAACCAACTGTGGCCTTATGAGTCCATGTGCCCAGCTGCTGGCACCACACAGAGAGAAAGGAAGTAAGGAATGAGAGGGAAGGAAGGGGAACAGGGGAGGTGAAACACAGAGGGAGAGAAGAAAGATGGAATTATAGGAAGGATAGATGAAGGTAGGAAGATGGAGGGAAAGGAGGTGAAAAGAGGAAGTGTAGAGAGAATATGGTAGGAAAAGAGGAAAGGTAATGCAGAAATGAGATGAGGGATAGAGAGAGTCAGGGGGAATAAAGCTTTTTATACTCATGCAGGCTCCTGTAGATGGTGCATCGGATTGTTGTTTGTTTGCAATATACTCAGAAACGCCAGAGAACATACAAACAAAATATTCTGTAGATAACGAAGAGATCAGTGAGTGCTATCGGAAGAAAGAAAATGGAAGAGTATGCTGCTCGACAACAATTGTAAACACTAAAGATCTGCCAAACATTATTGCCAACTTCCAAGTCAATATTATTTTATACCCACTTGTTGCATGAGGCCAGTTTTTAGCTTTAGTAGCATTCTACACCCTGCAGCAAGCCCAGTGTTCTACTAGTCACGGTCCAACACATGCACACACCCTGACAGGAGGAGAGAGAACATCTTAATGGTCACTGCAGATCAACACAAGGACAATACCAAAAAATATCATAACGCTTGTCATCCCGTTATTTCAAGAGTTTGTTGTCGTCTCTGCATCTTCAGCGCAGCACGTTCAGCAGATTGGGCTACACCCTTTGGTGCGTCATCATGTAAGTGCGCATGGCGGTCCATGATGACGCAGCACGCTGATAGTGATCAACACTCCTCGTTGCAAGTTACACACATCTCTCCCTCTGCGGGGGAGGCAGGCGCAAACACTGCCGACCAAATCACCTTGCAGCCCCTCTCTTTCACTTTAGACCCTTTCCTGCGACACAAAAAAACCTCACTAACATTTGGCTTTTGTTTTTAGCGGAAAATTTTACAATCAGCATTCGCACCCAGGACAAATGACTCTGCAGTAGTCACCGGTATTTATCGGCTCCAGCTCAGATTGTTAGCGATGGGAACATGACATCTGTGTGGATGCACTAATTTTAGCCCCTTTACCGGCAAGATGCAATGACGGGCCACCACAAAGAACCGTCCGTCTACGTCCAAGCAGCGCAGGAACATTGTTCCAAATTAGTCTGCACGGTGTTTGAAAGAGAGGCAGAATAAGTAGGAGATATAAAAAAGATATAACCATTGTAACACTTTCACTGTTCTCAACTGTTTACTATCCTGTTTTCTAGGCAGTCCACAGTGTTGAGCGCGAGTCGTGTATACAGCTCTACTGTTCTGGCAATGGGAAAGGGATCTCTTGTCTATTTCTAGTGGGCGTTCCCATGTTTTAAAAACCTGCAGATGCGCTATTTTGGGGGGAAAAGGGGTGTTTCTCTCATTTTTTGTTCCTCTCTGTCTGTTCTCCACTATATTGCAACTCAAAACACCTCCTGCAGTTTATGCACGAGAACTGCCAGTTTCATAACAACATTAAAAAAAAAAAAAAAAAAAACACTGGTAAAGTGTTGAGAACCCGACCCCATTCAATCTCAGGGGAATATTGAGAAAATACAAACTGGCCCAGCCCGCACCCAGTGAGCAGATCAGGCCCAATCGCACTTGGGGAGTAAAGTCAGAGTTCTACAGTGGGTCTCTTTCTTTCCAGTCATTTCAGACCATTTGACTGTCCCTGCGGCCCCTCAATGAAGAGTCATAGAGATGTTGTGACACTGGTGAACCTGCTCAGCTAGACTCCCCTCATGGCGCCCATGATGAACTAAAAAGCCCAGCCTCAGCAGTGGGCGCCTAGTTACAAAAATTCAGGGGTGCACGACCAAGTGCTGTGACAACTTCCAGTGCCTTGTAAGTAAGGAAAAAGAGGGGATGAAGGGAAGGAGGTAAAAAGAGATGGAATACAAGGCAGCTTTACAAGTGACTTTCTGGAAGCTCCGCGAGGAAGGAGGGAGTACCTCTTGGTATGAAAGGAAAAGGATGGAGAAGAGGGTAAGGTAAGAAAGGAGACAAAGGAGTCAAGGGTTCAGATGATAGGAAAGAAACAAGAGAAGAAGGAGCTAAGAGGAGTGAAAGAATTCAATGGGAGGAGGAGAGAAAGGGAGGGGTGAGGAAGAGGAGTTAAAGAAGGGAGGAACTGAGGAATTTAAGGAAGCAGCTGAAGCAGCTTCCAGAGAAAACTCCCCTGGCATGGGGACAGAAAAATAAACAAAATACCAACTCCGGTCCACAGGGACTTGTTCACTTAAAACTCTTAAATATGTTTGCTCTTAAAATGTAAAGGTCAGGGGTCACTTCAGGAATCCTGTGTGTGTTTACACAGATCTGTCTTGCGTCTGAATATAACCAGGGACATGAACGCACCATCACTGAGTGCTGACCTTTAGTAATCAGCCCATGAGATCAGACATGAATGATCGCTGTGAGGAAACTGGACTGTAGAAACAACATGACAAACCTAATACAGAGCATACTTGAAAGCCCATAATAAACTGTTTGTACTACAAATTATATAAACTTTATGTCTCATTTTCCAAATCATCAGTTTTTAGATTTTTTTTCCATCCATCCAGGCAGTGTAAAGTTGTGTTGACATCCTCTAGAGGCTGCAGTGTTCATCACAGCCACAATATGAAAGTGTTAAACAGACCAAACAACATACTGATGGTTTAGCTATTGTAAGAGGTGAAACAAATAGATCCAAACACCAAGTAGTTAAACTGAACACTTTAACTATCTGTTGACTTGTTCCTCCCTTTCTTTAATTTTTTCCTTATCTGTCTGTCTGTCTGTCTGTCTATCTTCAGACCTGCAGAAGTCCAGCTACCAGGCGGCCTCATCTCACCTCAACACTCCCGAAACAGTCTTAACACCGTCCAGCCTGCAGGACCTTGGCAAGGTAAGCAAAACTAAAAAAAAAAAAAAAGACTTCACTACACCCACGTAGTTAGCAAACTTTTGGCCTCCTCTCAACTCCTTGAAAGATGTGCAGACTAGTTCACTTCAACCAAAGAATCCTCTGTCCTTATCTGGCTTTTTCATTTGATTGATCATCAGCTGAGGATGAAGGAAGCAGCCAGTTAAGGCAAAAATTAGAGATAAACAAATGCACACATACACTTGCTTTCAGGAATTTCCTGCTAAAAGAAAAGCTAAAATCTGTTAGCGATGTGGACCATTAAGGTTAAAAGTAAAAGGCTTTGTTTTTTGCCTATTCTGTCTGTCTTCATACTTGAATTGGATACTCTTTGTTGTAGTACCTAGTTCTAGACTTTGTCTTCATACCTGGATCTCACTCTACCTTTGTCTTCATACCTGGATCTCACTCTACCTTTGTCTTCATACCCTAGTTCTGGCTCTGCCTTTGTCTTCATACCTTATTCTGGCTCTGCCTTTGTTGCCATACCCTAGTTCTGGCTCTGCCTTTGTCTTCATACCTAGTTCTGGCTCTACCTTTGTTGCCATACCCTAGTTCTGGCTCTGCCTTTGTCTTTATACGTAGTTCTGGCTCTGCCTTTGTCTTCATATGTAGTTCTGGCTCTATCTTTGTCTTCATATGTAGTTCTGGCTCTGCCTTTGTCTTCATACCTAGTTCTGGCTCTACCTTTGTTGCCATACCCTAGTTCTGGCTCTGCCTTTGTCTTCATACGTAGTTCTGGCTCTACCTTTGTCTTCATATGTAGTTCTGGCTCTATCTTTGTCTTCATATGTAGTTCTGGCTCTGCCTTTGTCTTCATACCTAGTTCTGGCTCTACCTTTGTTGCCATACCCTAGTTCTGGCTCTGCCTTTGTCTTCATACGTAGTTCTGGCTCTACCTTTGTCTTCATACGTAGTTCTGGCTCTATCTTTGTCTTCATATGTAGTTCTGGCTCTGCCTTTGTCTTCATACGTAGTTCTGGCTCTACCTTTGTCTTCATACGTAGTTCTGGCTCTATCTTTGTCTTCATATGTAGTTCTGGCTCTGCCTTTGTCTTCATACGTAGTTCTGGCTCTACCTTTGTCTTCATACGTAGTTCTGGCTCTATCTTTGTCTTCATATGTAGTTCTGGCTCTGCCTTTGTCTTCATACGTAGTTCTGGCTCTACCTTTGTCTTCATACGTAGTTCTGGCTCTATCTTTGTCTTCATATGTAGTTCTGGCTCTGCCTTTGTCTTCATACGTAGTTCTGGCTCTACCTTTGTCTTCATACGTAGTTCTGGCTCTACCTTTGTCTTCATACGTAGTTCTGGCTCTACTTTTGTTGTAGTACCCAGTTATGTCTCTGCATTTCTTGCCTTACCCTAGTTCTGGCTCTCCCTTTGTCTTCATACCTAGTTCTGACTTTCCTTTTGTTGTCATACCTGGTTCTGGCTGTACCATTCTCACCTTACCCTGTTTCTGGCTCTACCTTTGTTGCAATATCTAGTTCTAGCTGAACCTTTGTCGTTGTACCTAGCTCTGACTCTCCCTTTGTCTTCATATGTAGTTCTGGCTTTACCTTTGTTGTAGTACCTAGTCCTGGCTCTACCTTTGTGAATAAAAACTAAGATATAATCTAAAGCTTTGAAAAAGTAAACAAGCAAAACTTTTCTCTAGCACTGACAAAGTGCAGTGGAAATAGGTCTGGCTACACAGGACTACTCCTCTCTGACCCTTCCTTGTGTTCTGATCCTAGACCAAGGCTCCTCCCACACTCCAGTCACTCGTAGGGAGCAAAAGAGGAACAGCGAGCGGCAGCGGGCCTACAGCGCCTCCACCTTGGCAGCCTCCGTTGGCCTGCCCTGCCCCCTTTCCCCCCCTGGAACTCAGGGTGCTAGCAACGCTGAGTGGCAGGCAAGCGAGAGGCTGAGCAAGGCCAACCTGGATGCCATCACCTTCCCAGGCATCCCACAACCACCCACAAATGATAGTAATGGCAGTAACACTGCTGACAACAATGAAACCCTGGTGATGGAAAGACAGACAAGACACAGTTTGAGTGATGCCAGCATACTAGAAGACACCGCAGAGGACACGTATAGAGAGAGAGCCTTCAGTTTAGAGATGAGAAGAGGGTATTCTGCAGAAGTCGCCAAACGAGTTTCACCAGTGATGCAGACACCCTTGCCCCATTTCCAGCTTGCATCCCCACCAGACAGGAAGGACAGCAGGAGCATGGCATCATCTCCTCCGCCTTCCTCCCATTCGTCCAGTCCCCAGCCCCTGTCCTCATTGCGAATATCTGAGTCCAGCTTCTTCAGCTTCACTGACCAACCACTAGAATCCTCCACAGGCCTATCGCAGGACAACTTTGACGAGGTCTTCCTCCAAAATCCTGCCCCTCCGTCACCTCCTCCGCCAATCAAAGAGACAAGCATCTTGGAGGACTTCCCTCCTCCACCTCCTCCCCATGAATTGCAGCAGGAAGCTGGACACCAGAATGTGGGAAGGTTTGTTGTACAATATTTTCATATTTAAACTGGAATTTAAATATTATTAGCATGGACCTTTTTTTAAAAAAAAATCTCTGTTTTCTTCTCTGTCTTCAATCCTAGTATGGAGTTCTTAAACAACTCCATCATTCCAACCAGGAAGTTATCCCTCCAGTCCCCTCCAAAGTCCCCTACCTCCTCCGTCGTTCCTTCGTCTGTGCCCATCCCAACTCCTTCCCTAAAGCCACAGCCCTCCACCATCACCTCTATTACCACATCCACCACAGCCGAGGACAGCCTAGGTCTTGAGTACCAGCCAATACCTAAGAGGGAAAAGACATCAGAGGAGCTGCGAGTGGAGGTGCTGGCCCGGCAGCTGGTGGGTATCCGGATTCAGCAGTTTATCTCTGATTCTACCTTTGTTGACATCATTTTGACATTACTTTTGTTTTCATACCTAAGTCTGAATCTGCCTTTGTAGTCATATAGTTTCAACTCTTCCTTTGTTGTCATTCCTAGTTCTGACATGATCAGTGTACCTAGTTCTCACTCTTCCTTTGCCAACACACTTACTTCTGACAATCTCTGTCATACTTAGTTCTTACTCTCCTTTTGTCTTCATACCTAGTTCAGTCTCTTTGTTTATGGTACTCATACCTAGTTCAGACTTTATCTCTGACAAATACCACATTCTCACTCTACCTTTATTGCTGTCCCAACTTCTGACTCTACCTTCGTCATAATACCTAGTACCTTTCTCGCTGTACCTACTTCTGACGCTACCTTTGTTGCAGTACTCAGTTCTGACTCTGCCTTTCTCATCGTATCTAGCTTCGACTCTACCTTTGTCTTGGTAGCCAGTTCTGATTCTACCTTTCTCGCTGTACCTAGTTCTGACTCTACCTTTGTTGTACTGGTTAGTTTTGACTCTACCTTTTTCACAGTAGCTATGTCTAACTTTATAGTTGTCGTAGTACCTGGTTCTGACTTTACCTTTGTTTTTGTACCTAGGCCTTACTCTACCTTTTTTGTTGTACTTAGTTCTAACTCTAGCTTTGTCGTAGTAGCTAGTTTTGACTCTATCTTTGTCGTAGTACCTGGTTCTGACTCTACCTTTGTAGTAGTACCTAGATGTGACTCTGCCTTTCTTGCATTACCTAGTTCTGACTCAACCTTTCCCTTTGTCATACTCAATCCTTCCTTTCTCGCTGTACCTAATTCTGACTCTACCGTTCTCGCCCTGCTTAGTTTTGACTGCATTCCTTTCTTGCCGCACCTGGTTCTTACTCTGGCTTTCTCTCTAGTTCTGACTCTATCTTTTTAGCCAGACCTAGTTCTGACTTTACCTTTGTCATAGTATCTAGTTCAGACTACCTTTGACAAATACCAACTTCTGACTCTCCCTTTGTCTTAATGTCTAGTTCAGCTCCATGTTTGTTGTAAGGTCTGACTCTACCTATGTTGTAGTAACTAGTACTGACTCTACATTTGACATAGTACCTAGCTCTGGTTCTACTTTTCTCGCAATACCTAGTTCTGTTTCTGTCTTTATTGTCTTGCGTACTTTGATTCCTCCTTTTTCATTGTTTCCAGATGTCACAGGACAGCTCTCTGGCACCTCTCCTGGACACGTGGGGGGGTAAATCCACTGTGGACCTAATGGAGGAGATATTTCCAAACAGCAAATTGGTTGATAAATCACCATGGCAGCGCAGGGGCAGCAGCAGATTGGATGACAGGTAATTCTTTCATGTGTTTTGCCTTTGAATATTCTTAAACATTTTAGTGTATTTTAAATATACAAAGACACTGAATTTTAATATTTAGCATAGTGACACTCCTCCTTTTTCGGTAAATATTTTTAATTTATTTGCCTGCAAACATAAACATTAAAGAGAGATTTAAATTAGCCTTTTTAGTGAAACACTGTTCACGCTCTTGGTTTGACCATGTTGGTTTATTTGGGATGTAGATATTTAGGGGAATTTTCCTACTTAACTCAAAATGGTACAACTCTGATTACTGATTACTTCTACTATCACTCTGCCCACCCAGTTACACATTGAATTTCCTTTCAAGTGCTTTATGTAACACAAGGTGAAAGACCTTCATGTTGAGTGTGTTTATTTAGCCATGGAACCAAACTTGCAGAAATTGACTTTATGTAACTGAAGGATAAGATGAACATTGGGGTAAAAGGACATCCTGTAAACCATCGTTTGTCATTCTTGCTGTGTTTGCTGACAGCCTCCTTTTCCTATCTGCTGCTGACACATCACAAACCTCTGTTGTCTCTGCATGTTGTGGCCTTTAAAGTCAGTGATATATTGAATGTGTTCTGTGTTGTTGAACATGATGTTCAAGGGAGGAATGTTTCCTCGATGAAACAAAGGTAAACAACCATCCATCTAGAGACAGCATCTCTCTGTTATACATGCTCGGTCACATCTGTTGCAGGAAGGTGGTGTTTTGTTTTGACCTCTGACCCCGGTGAAACATATTTTGCAGCTACAGTGTTTATGATGTTGCCTCCATGTGCGAGTTGGATGTAGTTTTTCCTAAGTTGGAACAAATGTTTTCTTTAGGTCTGTTGTTGTTTCTGAAAATGAGAGTCTGCCCAGCGTATTTCCAGAAACTTTCAATCAATCAATCAAATATATTTTGGGTTCAGAAAATAAAATTAGACATTTATGGTGTGTGATGAAAAGTTTTTCTGTAAGTCATGATGAGAAAGTATTTCAAAATAATGAGAAATAGTCTCAAAATAAGGTGTTAGTATATCAGTCTCAAAATGATGGCTTATCTCAAAATAATGACTTAGTATGCCAAAATAATGAGCAAGTTTCTTAAAAGTATGAGTTCATATCTTAAAATAATGAGAACCTTTCTTAAAATATTGACTTAGTATCTCAAAATAATGATTTATCTCAAAGTAATGACTTACTATGTCAAAATAATGAGAAGCTTTCTCAAAATAATGAGAAACTTTCTTAGAAGAAGGTGTTAGCATCTCAAAATAATGAGTTATTGTCTTAAACATTGGCTTGCTTATGTCAAAATGACAATTTATTTCAAAATAATGTCTCAGTATGTCAAAATAATGAGAAACTTTCTCAAAATAAGGTGTGAGCACCTCGAAATAATGAATTATTTTCTCAAACAATGATGTACTTATCTTGAAATGACAACTTAAGGTAATGACAAGCTCTCTCAATATAATTGAGATTGTTTCTCAAAATAATGAAACACTATCAAATAATGAAGAATTTTCTCAAAAAATATGAGATCATATCTCAAAATAATAAGAAACCTTCTCAAAATGAGTTTGTATCTCAAGATAATGACTTAGTATCACTACCCATTATTTTGAGATAAGTAAGTCATTATTTCGAGTTACCAAGTAATTATCTCAAGAAGGTTTCTCATCATATCACTCACAGGATCTCTTTCTTTTTTGTTTCTTTCATCACACTGTTGAAAATGGGCTTTCATAGGACGTTGAGATGATAGAGCAAAATATATTTAGTTTAGTGGCTTTGTCACCAGATCAGTGCAGCAGGTGCATCAGGGTTTAACCCTGGATGTAGCTGTAGATGGCTAGCTTTCATCTACCTTCCTAGAAGCCTTAAAAATTGGTAGATTACTTGGTCAGTGAACACAACACCAGATGTATTTGACTTGCTGGAGGTCTGGGAACAGGCCAGAGTGGTGATGTAACATGAAGGTAAAAATGTGATGACTGAGTGTTGAAGTTAGACGGCGTTGGCGTTGTCAGCCAGGACAGGAGAGACCAGACAAACCTGATCAACGTTTCTCAACAGCAGAGTGTGGAGAGAGTCCAACCACAGAGATTGTTTCTGTAAACTTCACCACACAGATGGATCATAGAAGAACTGTGGATAAAAAGAAAACATCACTTAGCTGTAAACTGTTAAAGGTTTTTAATGCCTACATGACTACAAGGCCGATGTCTGGGTTCAGAGGACAGACTTGTTACTGCCCTTCCTGCCACATCAGATGGATGTTTTGTCTTCCTCTCACAGTTGGATCGCTTCCTGTAGTCTAAACAGCTGAACAATGCTGACACCTAGTGGACAGAGAGAGGCTGACTGTTTTTACTGATACTCATAGTTTTTTTATTGACTGAATATTAAAAACATAAAGTCAAACTCTTAACAATACTAAACAGTAAAATACAGTTACACAATTTTCACAGTAGTTTCTGTCTATCTTTTCCTTTTCTGTTCACTTTTATTTTGTCAGTTTTAATGGTCTTTAAACCTGCATTACTTTCTTTGGCTACAGCTTCTGATCTTGTTCTTTGTTTTTATATGCTTCACTGATTTTCTTCAGGCTGTATCCAGGTCCTTAAAAAGTGTCTTCAGTTTTATAAATATATGCTCTTAAAAGTCATTAAATTGTTTTAATTATGAGGTCCTTATTGCCACAAATATTTTACCTTCTTTCATGTATTTATCTTTTTATTTCTTTTTGTCAAAATGTGCACAAAGGTTCAAATTTCTAATGTCACAAATCTTTAAACCTACCTCTGAACTTTAAACAGTCTTTGTACTTTATACTTGGAAAGATGTAGCTCAACCTAACTCACTCTAATTACCATATTCCTACGTAAAACTACCTCTGCACAGGGCCATATATATACTACTCACATTTATATTTACCTGCAATGCTTGAATAAGGAAAAAAATGTCAAAATTTTGTTGTCTTGAGGTCTTAAAAAGCATTAAATTCAGGTGTCTGATACCTCTGGACGCCCTGTTTTAGAAAGTCTCCACCAACAGCAGCAGCAGTGTCAACAGTCCTCAAGAATCTTGAGGAAATAGCATCTCAAAGTAAATAAATAATTAAATAAATTTGAAATTTAGGTTTTTAATAATGTTGTTCACTTTCTAGGATCCAAGATGGCGTTTGTGATCCTGCTCAGAGCAAGACAACAGATCAGCAGAAGGAGACCGATCTGGATGAGGAAGAGAAAGACCTCAACACCAGGAAGGTGAAACACAGATTCCTTATAAAAGTCTATATTCATATTGTTATCATTGGACTTTTGTTTTCATCTAAACGTCATAGTTTCAAGTACACTTTAATAACAGCAGTGTATCCTTGTGTTTCTCACCCTGTTTCCAGGTGGAGCTGTGTGAGGCTCTGAGGGGCAGCGTGGCGGCCCTGCGGCAGGAGAAGGAGGCGCTGTGTGAGGAGCAGAAATGTCACCAGGCGCTCGGGGCGAGCATCGAAACACTGGTGCAGGAACGCCTCAAAACCAACGAGAGGGACAAGTACAGCATGTTCATCGGTACGACACCTGTCACTTTATTAGAAATAAAAGCAGCACAATAAGGATTATCTTATTAATATTCAGTCACTACAGTTCCATTGGGGTTTGGTGATGTCAGAAACTGAGATGTGGACCTGGTTGTGTTTGCAGGAGATCTGGAGAAGATCGTGAACCTGCTGCTGTCTCTGTGCAGCCGGCTGGCGAGGATCGACAGGTCGCTGCTCGCTCTGGAGAGAGAGGACATGACGCAGGAGGACAGAGCGGATGAGAGGGTGAGACAGGATGGGATCTACCTGTCTTACACTCTGTTTACCTGTTATCATGTCAGACTGTTTACCTGCCCATCCATCTGTAGCTGAGCCTGCACAGGACTCATATTATCAGGGTTCAAAGGGACAAATCAAAAATGCATATTTCTCCTCTCACCTGTAGAGCTGTTTATCAGTCTAGATAGTTGGTGTGAGTTGTTAAGTGTTGGAGATATCAGCCGTAGAGATGTTTACCCTCTTTCTAATATAATAGCTAGATGACTCTCAGCTTGTGGTGCTCAAAGTGCCAAAAAATACATTTGAAAACATCAATGTCTCTTTCCAGAAATCATGACCTGGTTACTCAAGATAATCCACAGACCTTGTTGTGAGCAGTTTCATGCAGGAACTATTTTCTCTCTGCCAAGAGATGTAAACATTAATGGCGTCCTCCTCGGCTGAGCTGTAGCGCTAGCTAGCTCAGTGGCGCTAGATGTGCTTTTCCAACTCTGACCTGTCAAAATGTCCACTGTGAAAATGTCTAGTTTGTGCCAGTCCATCGTGTTAGTGGACCAAGGTGACTGCCAAGAACTCTAGAACCACACTGCTAAAAGTTTCAGTTGTAGTCCATTTAGATGTTGACATGAGGGTCACAGACTAGAATCAAAGCTATGGCCACTGCGGCAAAGACCTAAGCTTAGTACATGTGGCACCCGCTCTACCAAGTGAGCTACTGAGTGCCCTGACATGACAGATTTAAAGTATCTAACTGTAAAGCAAAGAATCTCTGTCCCTCTGTCTGTCCGTATATCTCAGGAAACATTCATTCGATGTACTTCACACTTGGCAGGTGTATTGCTGAGGACCTAAGGATGTGCAGCGTCAAATCTGGTGCAGTCTAGACTTGTGGGGCGGGGCTTCAGAGATATTTCAGTGGTGTTTCTGACTGCGAGTAGTGATTAGTGATTTACTCTATATACCCTTTCTCCAACAGGAAATGTTGGTAGTTGCAGTGACAGTATATAAGATTGTTTGTGAGCTGATAAATACTCAGTTGTCTCCTTCCTCTCAGGACTGCCTCCATCACAAGCGCTCTCTGCTCCTCGGTCAAACCGAAGAAGCCCGGGAGCTGAAGGAGAACCTGGACCGGCGGCAGCGCGTGGTCCACGGCATCCTGTCCGGCTACCTCACCGAACCACAGCTCCAGGACTACCGCCACTTCGTCAGCACCAAACCCTCCCTTCTGATTCGCCAGAGGCACCTAGACGACCTCATACGGCAGGAGGAGGAGCAGCTGACGCGACTGGTCGAGAGCCTGCCGCAGGAGCTGGCGGAGGCTCACGGTTGGTCGAGAGGGGGTCTGTTCCCATCGCCGAGCCCCGCCCACTGCTCCTCCCCTTTCCCACCGCTGCTGCCACCCTCTGTGATCCCAGGCCCCGGCCATGTAGTCCGCTCCACCACTGTGACGTCACTGTGATGTCACGGACAGGCCGCTGTTCTGAGCGGCAGTGAAGGGTAGAAAATGAAGAAGAGACAGCTGGCTCCCTAAAAACTTGCTCTGAGCTCTGAACTGAAGGAGCTGTACATGAAGGAAGCGTCGGCCTGAAACAGGCTCCGTTCACACTGAAACTATGCAGACTTCACACATGAAGAAGAGAAACCTTTAACGTGCCTCATTCTGTTCACACGTGACTGTGCGTTACACTTCTGTTCACCTCGACATCAGCGACCAGCGCTGTGTGGAATAAAGCTACTGCTGCCAACATTTCTAATGACCCTCTGGGAGGTTCACCATCAGATGCTCCAAAGGACAATTCCAGTGTTGTGGGTAGCTTCCTGAGGTTTTCTAACCCTCATCATGTTCGACATATGTTTCTAAATATTCCTCTCAGTCCAGATGAGCGCGGAGCTTTAAGGCTGTAAACGTTAAAATCAGCTTTTTATGTTTCATTTCCAGATAGATGAGATTACAGGGGACCTTAAAGGGATAGTTCAGATTTTTTAAGTGAGGGGTGTATGAGGTATTTATCCATACTCAGTGTATTACCTACAGTAGATGGCGGTTTGCTTGCGCCCAGTTTGGAGATGCAGACAGAAATACAGCCATGGAAGCGAAGCAATGCACTGCTGTGGACGGGGCAGCAACACAATGTATTTCAGCCACCTAAAAAAATTGATATCAGTTTAAGTGTGCGATATATTTAGAGTATTTTCATGGCTTTACTTTGCTGTCAGACAGTGCTTTCTGACAGGAAAGTGCAGCCATTGTATCTCTCTCTTCAAAGCCACCAGACTCCACTGAGAAAAACAGTGATTTAACACTGCTAAACACAGGAGCTGCTGGTCTACCACTGCCTTGATAAGTGAGTTTCAGTGGTGTAAATTTGGATAGTGAAGGCAGTGTGGTTGCACTGGGGCCCGAGTGCCACCTGGAAATTCGCTCATGTTCAAAGACGAACTAATTGAAATCAGTGTGATTTATATATATACCTTCAAAAAGGCAAACCGATCTTCGTCATGGTTTTCTTTGTGGTGAGATATTCAGTATCAATCTGTAAGAAAATTATATATTATATGTATTTATTCTACCTTGTGCCATTTTTACTTCCACAGATATTCAGTGTCAGCAACTATACGCAACCAAAGTGTCTAGGCTGAAAGAAACGCATCTCCAAAGTGCTCTCGCACTCCCAGCTTGGTGGAGACGAGGCTTTAAATATGTTTTGCAGCGGCCCCCATCCACAGCAGTACATCACTTTAGTTCCATGTCGGTACTCCTGCCTGCTTCTACTGGGGGCATGCCGACTGACATCTACTGTAGGAAATACACTGACTATGGATAAGTACCTCGTACAAACCCACTTCAAAAAATCTGAACCGTCCCTTTAAGTTCCCCAGTTTCGACCCTACATTCACCAACATCATGAAAACTCCTCGACACCAGAGAGTCTTAATCAAACTGACTGTAATGCTGGCACAGACTTTCTATACATCAGCCTGAATCATAAATAAAAGGAGAGAAATTTACTTCCACTCTGGAATTGTCCTTTAACGACCCTGACGGTGCTTTCAGGAACCTCAAACATTCAGACGTTCCTCTTGAAACTCTATTTCTAACAAGAAGACAAAGTGAGCAGGTGTTTTATCTCCCAAAGACAAAATACTCTCTTCTTTAGAATGAAAAATCACTTTTTATCAAACTTTTCAGAAGGTCAGCGTCTGCTCATGTTCAGCCAACGGACAAAATATAAATCAACACCAAAATACGAGGGACACTGTTTTGATTTTACTGCAACAAAAAGACTCAGAGGAGTCTGAGTGCACAGATCCTGCTCTGATCACTGTCACATGATACTGTAACACTACTGTCACTACTGTCTGCAGCTTGTAGCACTTTTCACTGTAGCAGCTCCACTACTGTCTGCTGCAGGATTTTTACACTGAATCATTAACATTGCTCTGCTTGTGCCTCTTTAAAAGACGATGTGATGAAACATTTGATGTTATAAAAAATTAGATTCCAAAGATTTTCACTGGATGATTTGTTTGCAGACATCAACCTGGTCTAAGTTTGGATTTGAGGTGTTGTTTGGTCCAAAAATTGATAATTCTTTTCTTCCCTTTTCAGCATTTTACTTAAGAATAACTGAATTTTTACAAATAAAAAACGCCACAGTTTACTTTATCAAAAGATATTTAATTTATAATCATATAAACATAAAAAAAAGTGCTGATAATTGTCCTACTGATCACCTACTTCATTAAAATGACCTGTTTTGTCTTTGACATTAAATGCCTCGCTCAGTTTTCCAGGTTCCAACAAACTTAAACAAGCTGTCTCACCGTATTTTAGTTTTATTTCGCTGGTGTTCACATATGGGTATCTGTGATATAAAACCATTCCAGTTCTGATCAAACTGTCTGTCGGCTGTCAGAGGAATACAGGCTGCACAGTGTAACACTGAAAAGGAATTCAACACTACTGCTACTAACAAACTGTGCATCATATCTGTTTCAGAAAAGCAATAAGAAGCTGAAAATCTTTATTTAATCTCTGCCTGCCGTTGTTTCAGTTACTTGTATCAGTCAAGGACGCTGATGTGATCACAAATTTAAAGTCTCAAGGTCATAACCTTGATAGGGATTTTCACACTGCCTGTTCTTAGCCCCTTTTTCACACACACAGTTAACTCAGTGCTAACCTGAGCCCAGGGCTACATGATTCACACTGCACTTCTACTAGTCCTGGGAAACACGTCAGCTGTAACTCGTGTCTAATGTTTACATTCTAGAATGACGCGTGACTGTTCTTTAACAGCGAGCAGCGTTGTTAAAATGTGGCCGTTAGCAGGGATTTTTGTGAGCGAGGTGCTAAAAGAACAAAATGAGAGGGAACAGCAGAGACAGGAAAAACTGAGAAGAACACAGATGGTGGAAAAATGTTGGCATTGTAGGTTCCTGCAAACCATGAAAACCTGACATTTGCACATTATTTTGTAGCAGATACATTCAAAGTTTTTGAACAATGCTGTGGTTAACATGTGGTTAGGTTTAGACACAAACACCACTTGGTTATGGTCAGGAAAAGATTGTGATTTGGATTTAAATACCCAAGTTTATGGGCACAATCCCACCTGGAGGTGCAGAGATGTCTCAGTAAAAACAACTGCTTTTCATGACACTATTGCAGTTGGAAAAACAGCAACAGGTGACGAAAATACACCCATGTTTGGTGGCGATATTGGAGCTAGAAACACAGCAATGACTCACTAAAAAACAGTCGGTTTTCATCACACTATTGTGGCAGAAAATGCAACTATGGCTCAGTAAATTACAACTGCTTTTCGTAGCAATATACCTGGTGGAAAAACAGCGATGGATTGCTAAAATACACCCAAGTTTGATGGCTATATTGCAGCTAGAGACACAACTGTGACTCGCTAAGAAACAATCAGATTTCATCACACTATTCTGGCAGAAAACACAGCAATGGCTCAGTTAAAAAAAAGCTGCTTTTCATGGCACTGTCCTGTGTGGAAGAACACTGATAGGTTGCTAAAATACATCCACGTTTGGTGGCTATAACGCAGCTAGAAACACAGCTGTGACTTGCTAAAAAACAACCTGTCTTCAACACACTATAGGCCCGTTTCTACTGAAGAAGTTCCTGGTACTATCTGGGGGGCAGGAACTACTACAGGAACGTCCTCTCGCTCGGCCCTCTCAACCGCCGTGTCTCCACTGAGAGAGCGGAGTAGGAGGAATGTTCCTGTAAAGTTACCGGGCTCTGGATGTGACGTAATCGTTGCGCGACCATTTACCGGGGCGACGTAGGGGCGCTGTTAGCTGATAGCGGTGTCTGTAATAACTCTCTAAATGGCCCGTGAAAAAAAAAGATTTTTTCCAGTGGATGTCTTATTTACAACATGATTGAGCTAACTGGAGTAGTTTCATGTCGTATCCGACAACGGGAGGCTTTTAACAGATGACGTCCTGATGTTAGCTTTGCTAACTGTCCCTGTCAGCTGCAGCCACTGATGCTTTCTAGACATCGTGATTTCCCAAAACTGAATAAATACCACACATAGCAACACAAAACTGCTTTGCTAGCTCAATCATGTTGTAACTAAGATATCTGCTGGAAAGAATATTTTTTTCACGGGTCATTTAGTGAGTTTTTTTTACATGGCGGAGGAAGCTATATGAACGAGCTAATCCTCGTCTGCTGAGTTTTAAAAATGCCGGCTATTTTGTTGCTTTCTGTTGTCGTCACATCCCTCCTTGAGTATATCCAATCAGCACCAAGTAAACCCCAAGCCCCAGCCGGGAGTCTTTCGGGGCCGTTCTGAGTACCTACCCCGAGGCAGGGACTTGTTTAGCCCCTGTAAAAGTTCCGGAACTCAGTCCTTCGGGGGTGGTTCCTGCGGTGGAGACAGGCACCAACGGCCCCGGCCCCGTAAAATTACCCCGAAGTTCCTGCGGTGGAAACGGGCCTTATCCCAGCAGTAAACGCAACAATGGCTCAGTAAACAAACTTTTAGTGGCACTATACCTGGTGGAAACACAGCAACGGGTTGCTAAAATACAGCCATATTTGGTGGCTATATTGCAGCTAGAAACACAGCTGTGACTCACTAAGAAACAATCGGATTTCATCACACTATTCTGGCAGAAAACACAGCAATGGCTCAGTAAAAAACAACCGCTTTTCGTGGCACAATACCTGGTGGAAAAACAGCGATGGATTGCTAAAATACATCCATGTTTGGTGGCTATAACGCAGCTAGAAACACAGTGATGACTTGCTAAAAAACAACCGGTTTTCATTACGCTATTCAGACAAAAAAACAACAATGGCTCAGTAAAAACAACCCCTTTTCATGGCACTATCCCCGGTGGAAAAACAGTGATGGGTCACTAAAATACACCCACATTTGGTGGCTATATTGCAGCTAGAAATACAACAATGACTCGCTAAAAAATAACCAGTTTTCATCGCACTATTCTGGCAGAAAATGCAACAATGGCTCAGTAAAAGCAACCACGTTTCGTGGCACTAAACCTGGTGGAAAAATAGCGACGGATTGCTAAAATACATCGACGTTCAGTGGCTATAATGCAGCTAGAAACACAGCTGTGACTCGCTAAAAAACAACTGCTTTTCATCACACTATTCTGGCAGAAAACACAACAATGGCTCAGTAAAAACAACTGCTTTTCATGGCACTATACCTGGTGGAAAAACGGAGATGTATTGCTAAAATACATCCACATTTGGTGGCAATAACGCAGCTAGAAGCACAGTGATGACTTGCTAAAAAACAACCTGTCTTCAGTGCGCTATCCCAGCAGAAAGCACAACAGTGACTCAGCAAAAACAGCCCCTTTTCAGTGCACTATCACCGGTGGAAAATCAGCGATGGGTCACTAAAATACACCCACATTTGGTGGCTATAACGCAGCTAGAAACACAGCTGTGACTCGCTAAAAAATAACCAGTTTTCATCGCAATATTCTGGCAGAAAACACAACAATGGCTCAGTAAAAACAACTGCTTTTCATGGCACTATCCCCGGTGGCATTTTGCAGTCAAGTGATGTTACTGCCTGAACCCTTTTGTACAGCTGCATTCACTTGTCTTGTATGCCTGAAGAAGGTCACAATGACTGAAAGCTTGCATTAAACTGACATATGCACAGTGTTTGAGTGTGCGGCTGCTGTTTTAAGGCACTATCCCAGGTGGAAAAACAGCAATGGGTCACTAAAATACACCCACATTTGGTGGCTATAACGCAGCTAGAAACACAGCTGTAACTCGCTAAAAAATAACCAGTTTTCATGGCAATATTTTAGCAGAAAACGCAGTGATGACTTTTCATGGTACTATAATAGGTAGAAAAACAGCAACAGGTCACTTAAATATACAATATAATATTAGTATAAAATAATCTTTTAAAAAAAGAAGAAATGTTAATATGATTCATATGATAATTGCAAATGTAACGTATTTGTGGTTTGCAGAAATGTAGAATGCCAACATTTTCTCCTGGCCACTGGGCGGACATGTTCCATTTCTCTTCAACTGACATCTCCAATCACAGACTCAGGAACAGCGCCATTTCCGCCTGCAACCATTTCGATCTTTTTAAGTCACACATTGTTTTAAGTTAGCCAGTTTGCGAGTTTCATAGTAGTTTCCGTTGTTACAACGTCAGTGTTTAGTATGCACATACTGATGACAAAAGAAGTAATGTGACTGGACAACAAAAACAAGATGCAAACTGCCTCACATCTGTTTCACACTGATAAATTTAAGCCACGTGTTTAGTTGATTTTCAGAGGATAACTTTGAGGTTCAACCTGCTTCAGAGCAGGACGAGCAAGCCTGATCCTAACGTCGGGATTATCCCACTTTGGAATGTGTCATTGTGACTTAGCTCACTCAGCCTGAGGCTAAAGGCAGTGTGGAAATGATTAACCCTGATGACATCACTATGACATCATCAGGGTTACTCTCTCAAATGTCTCCAGAGCCACAGCAGATGTTAGACAAGTGTTTTTACAGCAGTACCGCCCATTTAACCCATAAACTGACCTTCATGTGTGCCCCTTTAATCTTATTTGAACGGTCCACCTTCATGATGTCACTTTGTGGTCATGGAAAATTAAAATAACCCAGAAAATACCAACGTTAACATTAAAAGTTACAAATAAAAAAAATTAAATTTTGGTCACAATCATAAAATAATGCTTTCACAATAATCATATTGTGAGATTAAGTTGCTGTAAAATAATTTGCTCTGCATTTTTACCTTCATTTAAGAGTGCACTGTCCCCTCTGGGCTCCCGTAGTTTTCCACAGAACACATTCTCCCACTTTGGATCAACTCTTCAGTCTGCCAGTGATGAATCAGGTTTATATTCAAATCACATCAGTTCTTCCATGCAGCAGGTGCCGTTTGGCTTCCCTACAGTTCAGTTCTTCTGGGGACTCCAAATGGCGTAAATCTATATTTATTGTTTAACTAACAGCAGCAGCAGTGAGAGGGTTTTCACACAGCTGACCAGTTTTATCCGTTTCATCCACACCAACATTTTACTGTTTGAGTTTTTAGAGCACCTTTTAAATAAATATTCTGTTTGTCATATTCTCTGAGCGTCACACACACACACACACACACACACACACACACACACACAGTCTGTCCTCGTCAATAACCCAGATTTTATTGTTCATTATTGTTTGTTCTTGTTGTTTCCAGAGGCACAGCAGCAGAATATCTCAGACATTTT